GGTGTGTACCTGGTGTGGCTGTGGTGGACACGAGCTCTGGTACCACGCAGGGACAACAAAGAGAGGTCTCCGCCCGCCGCCCATTCATCCTTCTCTCGCCGAAGTAATCCCATGATTCTTATTGAACGCGAATCCGAGCCCCTAGGGGAAGAAACCGTATGATTTGTGATAAGGTCGGGTACAAGACACGCCCCTCCTCGAGCCCAGCCATCTGCTCACCAAAACCACAACACCAAGCTCACAACAAATGGCTTCCCTAGCCCTATCTCCTATAAAAACCATTTATTTCGCTTTTATAATCACCCTTCTTCTCCTCCCTCACCCATCAATCTGCTCCTCAAACTATCTGGCTTCCCGACCTTACACTTATTTCTCCTCCTCATCCTCGGGATTTACAGCCACATGCCTTTGTAGTGACAGCTACTAGTGCTGGATGGTCCACGCCAAATCACAGTGGGGAGCATGCAGCGGTATGGAGGGATGCCATATGGCTGGTTGTGGTGAGTATGTTTGTGTTTTGGCGCCAAGAAAGAGTATGGCCGTCGGAACCTCCACCAATATTGCCACACACCAACTACCCACACACACACAGAACAGGGCCCACACACACACACACACACACACACACACTGCGCCCACATAGCAATGGTCAGACCATGAGTCGAGGATAAGCACAGATAGTTGTGAGAATCAGATTGATGGAGTGAGCAGAAAGAAGAAGCTGGTCATTATAAAATATAAGAAGCACACAATACACAAACATCTATATCAAGTTCAATTTGCCATATACACCACAGAAATCGAATAAGGGAACTAGGATATCACCATCTTCGTGACTCTATGCTGGTTGGCCCCATGTCTATCACCACATGAGCAGATGCTGCGGGAGCTCGAGTACTAGGTGTCGAATTAGATGTCTCGCTCACCTCGCGACCCTTCAGGGCACTAAGATATATTAAGTCTCGCCCCTAATTTGTGCCAGAACAAATCTTACTCCTTCTATGCTGGGTTCCCACATGCACCACAAGAATACTGGTTTTAATTAGACGCTGAGCTGACTGAGATATTTAATTTGTGTCCAGGCTGAAAGGGTTTAAGAACGGCTGAATAGAGACCGATATTCAATTAGACAAATTCCTGTGCTGCTATGTTATTTCATTAGTCTGATTCATTACATTCATTATGCATTTGTTCCATCACATTGTGTTGATAGATAGATAGATAGATAGATAGATTAAGATAGATAGATGATAGTGTAGATAGATAGATAGATAAACAGGTGCTGATGCGGTGAGGATCTCTCCACTGCTGATTATAATGATAAAGGGAGAGTCGTGTGGCCGGGCTGCTGGTTTGATGGATAAGACTCCCCCAGCAACAACAACACTGTGATGTCAGAAACTTGAGACTCACGTGTCTCCACCCCATCTGAGACACAAAGACCTGAGCTACCAGCCAAGTCAGGAATGTAGCAACTTACACCACCTGTTAGCCTCAGTGTGCGACACAGACCTGTGGTACAGCTCTGTAACAGTACATATATGACACTGTGACCGCCTCTCTGGGCTGTCTTTAACTTTATATGAAAGATTGTCCATTTAGTGGGAAAATATGTCTGAAGTCTGTGTTAAGATTGTGTTATTTAACCATTTGAACTTTAAGTTATTTGCCCAGTTTCACATCATGTATTCTGTATCTGATTGTTCCAGTGCTTTGATTAAACTTTATATAGAGTAAAAGTCAAACAACTAAATTGATTAGTGTCTCATCACCAAATATTGCTTCGTTCTAGCCTCTCTAATATGAGGATTTGCTGTTTTGTCTTTGTCTTTTGTGATATTACATTAAATATTTATGCATTCAACTCCCATAACAAGTGTGCCGACGACGTAGAAAGAGTGCTGCCAAGTTTTATGCTTATCTTATTTAGATTGTGGTTGAGGATTGGTTGACCAAACAAGGCATACCCTTCGGCTGCCACGATATTATGACCATTTTCTGACATTTTAAAGACTAAACATTTAATTAAGAAAGAAAACAGAACATTCATCGGAAATAATTGTTGATTGATTTAATGTTGAGTGAAATACTGGAATTAAAATGTATAGCTTTATGGCTCCAATATTACATTTAATAAAATACTTCTAGATGTTTTGTGCATTGTTTTACAGGTTTCCATGAAATATTTTGTGTTTTTGATTAGAATTTTTGATGATGATGGCCCAGCTTTTAAATTCAAACATTATATTGGTTAACTCATTACTAGTAATAATATTACTTTTCCCAGTAACTAGTAGTGTAACTAATTACTAATAAATTTCAGTCATAATATTACACTTAACCCCTCAAAAAATAATTTGAAATCCAACAAATCAGATCACATCCATGACTCACTTTTGTAATCATGGAGGAAACTAGTTTGGAAAATAGAAACACTTTTATTGAGCAGCTGAACTTTTTACACAAAACAAAACTGGATTTTAATCATCGTAAGGGACACAATTAACACTGTTTATTGGAGTAGGAGAAATGTATTATAACTAGTAGTGGAGTAATAAGTAATAATATTACTTTTTAAAAGAGAATGAGTAATAAATTACATATTTGAGCAACTAGCCCAACACTGTTGTTGACACTGTTAAAGTCTTGATTCACTGTGAAATTGAATATTCAATGTTTAATGGACTTGTGGAAGCAGCAAGCAAACAAAAAACCCTGCATTTTGGACAAATCACACACTCCCTGCTCCCTGAGATCCCTGCCCTATGGCCCCCCAGGGGTCCTTGGCCTTTAGTTTGAGAACCAGTGGCCTCCAGCAGCAGGATTAGCCAAGCCAGCTGCCCAGAGAGACCCGGGGCCCTGGACGCTGACACCAGGCCTGACCCCAGGGTGACTACTATCAGGGATACTGAGGGGATTTGGACAGCACTTCGTGTATATATATGTGTGTGTGTGTGTGTGTGTGTGTGTTGTTGTTCATTCAGTTGGACAACTGTTGAGCCAGTACAGATTTGTGCAGCGGTGTTCTTTGTATGTGTGTGTGCGTGCTTGTATGGTCAATTCTTTCCGGGGGTTAACTGCTGATCCAGTACAAATGGGAGGTGTTCGGGGGTAGGGCTGAGGGCAGTCGTGTGCTCCTGGAACATCTGCCTCTGTTTCTCCTGAGTCAAGCTTTGGTCAGGAGCGGGGAGGAGGGGGAAAGGCAACAGGGGGGAGGAACCTCAAAGGGGAGGAGATCGAAGAGGAGAAGGAAGAGTGAGTGTAGGAGGAGGAGGAAGTTGAAAAGATCCAACGTGAATAGGCAACCAACCCAAACACTGACTACTGAAAATGGGATGCAGGATTATATAAACCGCTTTCCACTTCTGCTCTTTTGTCTTCACTTATATATGCAGGGACATGAATATATAGCATGTGTAAAGGTGTGCACATCCATGTATATTGTGTGTATATTTTTCATGTGACACAAACACATTTTTTTGGAAACACATTTTCCTTGTGACAATAAAGATTATATCTATAACTCATATCAGGGTCAAAACCTTTGAGTCTGGTCTTTATCAGACATGGTTTGAATGGTGTGTATTGTATCAGTTTGACAAAATAATAATAAAAGCACATTTTCACAGTGTCTTGATTCCAAGTGTTCAAACTGCCATCCACATCTCAGCAATTCAATTCAAATGAAAATGGCAGTTCAGAGTATAGGCAACAACACTTTTTTAATTACTTGCAATTTCAAAACACAGTTAATATAATACAGATTAATAACTCATTAGACAAGGTGAAAGGGAAACATAGATGATATGCTCTCACTGTCCACATGCAATATATGGTTATTGTTATGCCTTCCTTCTCAGCACCCCCATCCAACCATCTCACTGACAGGGGACTTTTTCTGCACCTGATATCAGACTAAAACATTATTAATAGCATTAATGGTGGATAAGAAGATTGTGTTGCACAATTGGAAAGCGAAATTATCCTTTTAGCACTCTGCTGACAGATCACTCCACTCTGGAAGCAAATCACAGCAACTCTACAGGACAACTTCAAACCATTCTCAGACTAAAACAACCAGAAACCTAACAAATAAACCCTATGTGCTTGTGTATGTCAACACGGACCTGAACCTGAGAAATAATCTGGACCTCTACAGTTCAACAGCATTGAACATGATTGTGTAACTTTAAGACAAATGTTCCAGATAAAGCAGCTGTTGATTCAACATCTGCACAGGTCTGCAGCCCCATTTCCCAAAGGCATCCTCAAGGCAAAGGTGATCCTAACATTTAGACTTAAAATGAAACTAGGGTCATCACAGCTGTAGGGTTTTTTGGGAACCAAGGCACAACCCATTGGTCAAGTTATGTCTAAAACCAAAATGCCTATGTGGTCTTCATGAGTCCAGTGGTCATAACTCTCTAGTGCAATAACAGGAGGGCAGATTTACAACACAACTCCTCCCTACTTGAAGATCAGTTGACTGGGAGGGGTGGATTGTCCTCCCAGTCCACAGAGCATCTGGCTGAGGAACGACAGATGCTGACAGCTGGACTGACATCCAGCATATGTCCCTTTCTTTATTCCTGCTCCACTCAGACAATAGAGTGGAGGGGACTGGGGTGCTTTGTGTTGAGAAGGTAGACCTAATAGCTTGTGACTCTAGAAAGGAGCCCCTATTCTCCAAGAGAGCCTGGAGAGCAATTAGCCCATCTCTGATCCCACCCTTGGGGAGTTATTATGGGAGGACTGAGCCCACAAAAAGCCTCAATGGTCTATTCTCATTCATGATACTCCAGGATGTTTATTTCTTCATTACAGCATCAGTAAACTTATCCAAATGAGCTGTCCAATTTGTGTTTCAGGGATACATTTTATTTTTGGGGTCTGCATAGTATTTATATTTGGATTAATCACACAGATAACAGATACAGATAACTCACTCTGGCTGCATTGTAGTCTTTGGTGGGCGCCGAGCACGTGTGGTTTGTTTTGCAACGTGATGACGCCACGCGTAGATAACAGGAAGTAACTTGAATTTGCACCCAAGTAAACACAACACGGATAAATGCTGCTCATGTGCGCCACAGGTTTAAAGTAAGTGTTTCCTGTGTGCAGCAATGTCAAGGGTACAAGTGTTTACAGACACAACTCAGTAGAAGACGCGTTAGTTTGACAGGAACAACCTCGGGACGAATTAGTTTAGCGACTAGAAGCTAAGCTAACTGTTAGCATTCTTCTTTAATATTAAACCGAATAACGTGGCGAGCTGTCATGTGGTGTTTGTGGGATTGCTGTGATGTAAAACCGTCCCACTCATTAAATACTTAAACTACACAAAGCTATGAACACGTTAGCGTCTTGCTAAGTTCCCTTAAACGTTACCAATGAACTCAGTCTCAGTCTCTGTCTGTCTGTTTCTCCTCTGTAGAAATGGGTGTGAAGGGTCTTCAGCTCTTTCTGAGCCGCTGCTGTCCAGAAGCCTGTGTGACTGTGAACCTGAGAGAAATGGCCAGACAACATGTTGCCAAAGGCCAGCAAGGCAGCACGACCACAGCTAACAGTTGGGTTTAAATGTGTCTTAAAACTGATTTAATCCATGTTTTTATCAGTTTTACTCATGTTTAGTTTGGGGAGGGGGGATGGGGATATTAGTAAATACATAGCTTAAATGTATTTCTGTGACACCTTTCAAAACCAGGTGCTTCACAGGTACACACAGCATAAAATACAAGTATTTCAGGAAATGACCAAACAGAGAATTGACACAAAATATACAAAGATTGGTGGGGGTGATGCTGTTGAATGAATTTGGGGCTTCATAATCTTTCTGCCCCACCAATGGGCTTGTATACTGTATCATCATAATACGTCATATGAGTGGTAGCAACCACACATCCACCTACATTGCAGGAGTAATATAAGCTGGATATTTGTGTCTTTTCTCAGAGTGGGTTAGCATACAGCTCTGCTCTCTATTACATCTGTGTTTTCACCCTCATTTAGGCCCCCCCACCCTCGTTGTGGATGGTATGGCCTGCCTGTGCCACTGGTACTCATGTAAGGACTGGGTGTGTGGGGGGCAGTGGAGGGAATACCTGGATGTGCTAAAGAGCTGGGTAGAGGCCTTCACCTCGGCGGGCATCAGACTGGTCTTCTTCTTTGATGGGGTGGTGAAAGAGGAGAAGAGACAGGAGTGGGTGAGGAAAGTTAAATATTGTTCAGAATGTTTTAATATTTTCTTTTAGGAAACATATTTCAATTGTTGCAGTTCAACACATCTTAAAATTGCCCCTGTTGAAAGACTGATAATCCACTTCTGTCTATAGTTACAGAATGTATTGATTGATTGTTTTCTGTAGCACTGTAGTGTACTTGATAATAATGCCAGTATTTAGTGTTTAGAACATATAAACATGATGTATTGATGATATAGATGATATATAACTTGCAGAACCTGATAAGTAAGTAAGTTTACACAGTGTCTCTCTCCTGTCCTCAGGTGAAGAGGAGACGCAGAGTGAACGGGGAGGTTTCTAAAATATTCCGGCACATAAAAGCATACGGAGAGCAGCCTGGTAGAAATCTCTTTTGTATTCCTTCTGGTCTGGCGACATTCACACCCTTTGCTCTCAGGTCAGCATTTACAAGACAGATTACGACGTATTAGCTGTCTTGTACATAATATATACACTGTGATAATAAAGATAATTTATTTAAAAGAAGCTTTAGTAGATGGGCTTTGATCAGATGTCTTTGCTGGTTGTTTTTATTGCTGTTTATGTGGAAATAGTGTCTCTGTTGTTGTTATATATATATATATATATATATATATGTATTATTATTTTCTGATAACATTTTTTTGTTGCTTGTAGGTCACTGGGTCAGGAAGTGTTTTGCTCAATGCAGGAGGCCGACTATGAGATTGCCAGCTATGCTCGTCAACATGGTTGTATGGGCATTCTGGGACAGGACTCAGACTTCATTATATATGACAGGTTCATTAAAATTGTCATGTTTTCATTTTAAGCTTTGAAATTTAATAATACTTAGAAATTGCTGCAGAATGACTTGCACTAGTCTTCACAGTTAAAATACTGAATTAAAAGATTCTTGGACTTTATGTTATTAATACGTCATTGAAAATCTGTATAAACAGTTTGAGCTGAACATGTTGTTTTGTTTTTAAAAGTGCCCCCTACTTGTCTGTGGAAAAGCTGCGGATTGACAGTCTCAACACTGTCCTGTACGACCGACAGAGGCTCTGCCAGAGCATTGGATTGGCTGTTACCCAGCTACCTCTACTGGCCTGTCTCCTAGGTAATGATGTGGTGTCAGAGGAGCGGATGCGGCACATCAGGAACGATGCCATGGCAACATACAGGTGTCTCATTCTTATCTTCGCCCAAATAAATACCTAAATTAACTTCGTCATTGACTCTGTTTAGTTAAAGGAACATGAATACTGGATGCACACATAATATTGGATGAGGACATTACATAACAACAGTTTTATTGTTTCCCAGGATAAACAATCCTGAACCACCCTTTGATGCTCCTCAGGGACAAATGGTTCTAGCTGTATCCCACCTTGTGAGCTCCTTGTGGGCCAGAAAAGAGGAAGAGTTTATCCCTCAGACTCTGAATCTGTCAGCTCCTCACAGAGAGCTACTGAAGATGGGGATTTGCTCCTACCTACTGCCTCAACAGGAAGCACTTCAGCAACGTGACAACTCAGCGTTTCTGTCTGCCCCAGCCTTTGAGAAACACGTTAGTCCTGAAATATTAAAGGTATGTTCTGTACCTTACTCTGTCTCTTCTCTTTTGAGACTACCAAATGCCATATTGGCTTGTTACGTTTTACTTTGTGGTTTTCCCCAGGCCTGTAGAGAGAAGCATGTAGCAGCAGAGGGTTTCATGGTTTACGGTGTTGTGTGTGATGGAGTCATTCAATGTAGCAACACTCTGGAGGATGAAGAAGATGCTGAATTACTGCCCCAGGCCCTCGTCTACAAAGCGTGCAGACAGCTCATCTATGGGCTGCTGCTGCTGCACGGGCAGGATGGTAGGACAGTGAACTATCTTTTGGTGTACACTGTAGTTAAAAATAAAGACAAGAATGCTTTTTTGTCTTCACAGTGGTGTGAAATGAATCCAAGTATAACCTTGACTTATTTGGGTGTTTTCAGGCAGCAGTGTTGATCTTCCAGCAATCAGGGAATGGTTTGTCTACCCTGGAAACCCTCTGAAGGAACCTGACATGGTCCACCCTCTCCCAACCAGCCTTCCATGTACTGTACCTGCTAGTTTCTTTATATACTAATCTTTGTATTTCTTTCTTTTGCTCGGGTTAATACAAAATCAGTTTTCAATCTAGTTACGCCTGGAGATGCAAGTTTAGAGTTCTGTTGAATGTTTGCTAGGATGATACACTGTGCCAGTCCTGGGCATTGCACTTAAAGTTTACAGTGCTCTAGATAAGCAACAAAAACAACAAAATTAGTCACATGGTTTCGGATTTCTGAATTCTGTTTTCCTCTATAATTGATAGTTATAGACCATCAGCATGACTGAAAGATGCTTCTGTTTTAAGCTTAATACTGAACATTAATAAAAAATGTCACATTTAATGCAGTGTTTTTGAATTCAAAGTCCCATCGTATTTTCTCTCTGTCTGAATGTGTAGGTGATCAGCCCAATCTGGACTTGTTATGGTTTGGCAATGGTCCTGAAGTTGCTGCTCTTCGCTTGACGTCCTTCCTTTCAATTTTTGACTGCCAGGAGCTCTCAGAGCTGTATGGAGCTATTGACGACTCTCTGCTGGCTGCTCTCTGCCTGGTCACTTACATAGCCCTCCAGGTAGTGTCACCTTTTTCTTGTTTCATTGATTGATTGATTGATTGATAGATAGAAAGAAAAAACATGGAAAGAGGTTATTAGTCGAATTGATGAAAGTATTTATTGAACAAAAGTCAAACGAATTAAACAGGAACTGTTGTCTAACTACATATAATCCTCCAGGAAAGGCAAACCACAATACTTTCAAAATAGAAACAGTCACAAATGGAAAATGTTATTTAGTTTTATTTTAATTGAAAATACATCTGATGTTAATAGTATTTAATGTGTTAGAGTTTTTCTACTGTTATTGATACAACTGTTTTCATTGGTTGGGCTGCATGTTTGGTTTAGCCTTTAAAGAACAAGTTAAGCTGTTAAATGAAACAGTGGAGCACAAAGGAATCAGTTTGTATTTAGGCATTTCAGTCAAGATAATACCAGTGTATGGGTAGTAAAGCTACACCTGGTGATTTATGTAAACAAAAAATTAAAGACCAAATGTATTTTGGTCACAATTAAACACACAAGTCAGCTTTTGATTTTGGATTTACATTTATAACATATACAACAATTATTTTGTTCTTTTGTCAACTTGTGATTTGAAGTTAAACATCACTTGTTGACGGTTTGTTCTATGTTGTTTTGTCGTGGCTTAATAGCGCTCAGTTTAGCCACAGACACTGGTCTTTGTAACTCCTGCTCTTGCGTCAACAAATGCTCTGATCACCACCCAGGCGATTAGAATATCTTAAGAGCCATTTCTTAATTCACATTACTACAGTTGTGTCCTTATTTTGGTTGTTAATTTTAAACTATAAACATTTGTACTGTTTGTAATCCTGTTGTAATGCGTTGTTTTCAGAGAGAGAGAGAGAGCATTTGTGTTTTTGGTTTGTACATTTTGCATTGACGTCATCCGATAGAGCTTTAACACAACAGAGATCACAGGATTGTATCACCTGGATAAAAGTGCATTCGTCATTTTGCAGAAGCTAAACAAAAATTATACTGTCGCTTCATTTATCAGCTGTGTAACAAACAGGTCTTAAATCACTCTTTAATGCCACACCAACAGAATTATGTCTTCAAAGAAACGAATCTCAGATGTTGTCTAGAGCTTTCAAAATCTGCTTATAAAATTTGACCTACCATGCATGTTTCAAAATAATGCTTTAATTCAGACATCTTTGTGTGTCACAGTGAAGTTTAGTTTTGAAAAAACGTAGGCTGTCAGAATGCCTTTTTTATGATGCATAAAGTTACTTGCCTCAAGCAGAGATGACGAGCTGCTGAGTTCTGGCAAGCGTTCTTATTAGCTTTATACAACTTTTTTCACATACTCCCCAACACCTGTTAAAAGACTTTGATTTATATCTAGAATTGGTGGAGTTCCCCTTTAATTGCAAAAACAACTTGTTTTTGTGTCCTGCTCTGCCTAAATGTTTCTTAGCTTCCTTTTTTCCCAGCAATTCTTAAATTATATACTCCAATTTGGCTTTTATTTGAAAAACAATAAAATGTCTTCTCACACTGTATCCACATGCCAATGCAATAATGAAATTAAACCAATAAGGTCAATAAAGAGTTTTTGCAATTAAGATCTGCAACTGTAGCAATCAATGAAAACAGTTTCCTATAAATAAACTGTTGTTTTCACAATTTAATTTAAACTCCAGAGCACAAAGGAAAAGCAAGATGGGCTGCCAGAGTCAAACTTTTAACAAACCAGATAAGTAGGTTTTAATCCTACAATTTAGCAAGTTAGACCGGCCTTGTAATTTGAAACTAAAAGCACTCTGTTCTGACAGAGTTGAACACTCAAAGACACAAAGATCAAAAGGCAGCCATTGAGACTGATGCAAATTGTGGGGCAAATAGACAGACAGACACTTGGAGCCAATCATTTAAATGCATAAAGGACCAACAGACAGACAGAAACAGCTTCTTAGATGGACCATTAGATGAGTGGACCATCAGAGTTAGGCAGACAAGACAGACAACAGTAGCTGTTGTTGTCTGATCACTGCTGCATTCACATTCCCTTGTCACTCTTCTATTTAAATAGCTTCAGGGTTTGTTTGTTTTGTACACACAACTGGGCAGCCTTGTTTCTGCATTCAGCATTGTTTCTTTCTCTGTTGAATTGTTGCACAGAGAGCAGACAAAACAAACTGACCCACACTGAAGACACACTGGGATGTGCCTGCGTTGGCTAACCATATATTTTCCTCTGTATGTGCGTGTGTGTGTTTAGGTACAAACTTTGTCTCAAGAGGACTTGGATGCTTACCTCAGTCAGGCTGTGTGTCTGAGACTAAAATCCCCCCAGGAGCTTCAACAGATCAAGGTCAGTTACAAGTACAAACATACACACCTACTGTATAAAAGGTAAAAAAAAAAGTATTTGTCTTATTTTCACCAAAAGATTAACATATTTTTTAAAATGAACACACTTGTTTTCTGATTTTCACTCAGGGTCTATTGGGACATGTTTTGTCCCAATAGACCCTAAAGTTTAGCATTTTCTGCTGCAAGAAGACAATTTCCCCCGTAGTTTACAGTAAACAAGGTCCTCTTGTGGCAAACACAGCTCAGAAAATGTTTCCAATAATAGAAAGTGAAAAGAAAAATGGGGAGAAAATACAAGTAAGGTGCTGATTGAGTCTACAGAAAAACAAACAGTAAACTCAAACCATAATTGTTATGGTTAACCTGCAGTGTGGTTGTATTGCAAATGGTAATTTTTGTATGATAGATTCAAACAGAATCAAATGTTCAACAATTTCTTAAAGGTCCAGTGTGTAACATTTAGGAGGATCTATTGGCAGAATATAATATTCATAGGTATGTT